GACAAACACCCGACACTGACAAGCCTCGTGCGCGTGCGGCATGCTCGCGAAGGTATCTTTTTCAGGCTTTCAATCACTCGTACGTTCTTCAACAAGCGCCGAGAGATTCCAAGCCTGACGAATGTATAGGGTGTATTCACTGGCGGCCATATCCGTGTGCGCTGCTGCTGAGCGCGAGCTGACGGCGAGCTTCCGCAGTCCTTTTGGAGCGTCCATTTAGCACCATTAAGGCCTGTTCACACATGCAGTGGAGCGCTACAAGCACTTACCTCGCGCTAAGCGCGTGCTGACGGGAGCGTTCACCTGCTTTGTATCGCACCGTCAAAACTGTTGCTCATGGCATACGATAAGTAGCTGACGGCACGTGAGGAGCGCTACATCAGCGCTTCGCTGCATGTGAGAACCGGCCTTTAAAGGGCCCATGAAACGAATTTTGGGTTGGGATGATTAATTTTAAATTGGGACTTTACTAATCGCATATCATTTAGTTGGCCAAAAGAAAGAGGCTAGAAAGTCAAAAGCCAGCTTTTCGGTTCGAACATTTGAAAATATAGCGGACTATTTTGTACCTTCTTGCCTTCGAAAGCTCTCCGCCTTTTCACTATGATACATCCGCGGTTCCGAAAGCGCGTCACCGGCGCCAAACTGACGTCATCAGAGCCCAGCTCACGCATTGGACACGAGAACTGCGTCACTCGGACGTATGCGCTCGTCAACAATCAATCCGTCGACGAATATTTGGATTCACGTTCGTGGCCAATGAGCGCCCACACGGAACTTATCGTCACTGGGGAATGACAAGTTCTATGGTGTGCATAAAAAGCACGGTGGAAGCTAGGATTCATCGCACCGGTGCCGAAGGAATGTCACTACCACGTGATTTCACAATTCGCATTAGAGTTGAGGATTAAAGCTAAGGAGGAAGAAGTAGGAAAATCGTTTCATAACCCCTTTAAGGTTGCCGGTCTTAGCAGGCTATTAATGTGACCTGGTTCTGAGCATGCGCTCTAAACATCGCCCTCAAATATGGCCTCCAGTGAATACCTCCTATACCTTCACACGTCAACGAGGCTTGTCGGTGTTGGTTGTTTTTGTTTGTCGCTCCAGTGGGACTCGGCCATTAAAAGGACCATGAAATAATTTTTCGGCGGGGATAAATTGGGAATTTTACTAATCGCATATTGTTTAGTGGGTCAAAATAAAACTAGTGCACGAGCGTAGAAACCTTATAAAGCCAGCTTTTCGATACAAAATTCGAAAATATGGCGGTCTATTTTGTACCTCCTCTCCTTCGAAAGTTCTCTGCCTTTTCACTATGCATCCTTGGTGCCCAAACACGTCAGCCGAACCCAGCTCACGTATCGGGCACGAGCACAGCGTCACCCGGACGTATGCGCTTGTCAACAATCAATCCGTCGACGAATATCTGAATTCGCGTTCGTGGCAGATGAGTGCCGTGACGGCACATATCGCTTGAGAAAGACAAGTTCCATGGTGTGCTTAAAAAACACGGTGGAAGCTTGGAGTTATCGCCTTGGGTGCCAAAGCACGTCGCGACCGCGTGATTTCTCATTTCGCTTTAGAGTTGAGCATTAAAGCTAAGGACGAAGTTAAAAAAATCATTTCATGGTCCCTTTAAAGGGGCGATGCAACGAGTTTTGTATTTTGCGGAAATACCGCTTAGAGCGGATCCCTGACGTTAATGACCTGTGAAATACCCATTCGTTTTTCACCACACGCAATCGAAGTCGCAGAAAAAAATAAAGAAAAAACAAGCAGAGTTCACCACCTCAACTCGCAGCCAGAACAAGCGACCACGTGATCTGGAGCCGATTATATGCCGTCAATGTTGATCAGAGCCGGGCGCTGGGGTTGGCAAAGCACAGGACACGCGCTGAGTTCTAGACTTTGTTATGGTTCGGCTGTTGTCGTCATTGCAGCGATTGGACACAGGACACTACCCGAATGCTTCTCGAGCTAGTAATTATCACGAGCCCAAATCGGATGCCAACGCAATGCTCGGGTCCAATACATGAGCCGCATTCAAATATCGTCACTGGGCGGTACTGCTACCGCCCAGCTACGTCATCAGGTTTTGCGAAGGAGAGATTGAATGAAAACGCTCGGTTTTGTCCTCGAAATCACAGTGCAACAAAGGAGTTTCTTGGTCAGTGGCGTTGCGTTCGAGTATCCTTGAGCCCCACTAGTGCCAGTAAGCTCGTGTAAAGTGAAAAACATTCCAATTAAATATCGTTGCACCGCCCCTTTAAGTAAATGCCCCCGTCTGCTTACCTGCAGATCGCGCGAAGAACCAGTCACAGTGATCTATACACATTTATATCACCCGGGTAAGAAAGGCCAAGTCACTGGACAGTGGACGGATCCGCGGCTTCGAATGCTTCGCAGCAGAGGGCTGCAGCGCATGCGCAGTAGGCATTCCACAGCCCAGTAGACAAAGATGGCAGCACGCAGAAGGCGGTTATTTGAATCGTTTAAAAGGGAGTTTGGCGAATGACGAGGCCCAGAACTTGTTTAGATATATTAGCGCCGGTATGTTTCGGCGACGCCCTCGTAGGGTGTCCGTTCGTGAAGTCACGAACAGGATTTGCCTCGCCGTGATTGGCAGGATTTTCCACGCCGTGAACCGACGATCGGGCGGGCATTATGAGTATACAGGAAGGTTTGGCCAATCGCGAACTTCGACAACAGCGACGCTTTCGGTCGCGCAGGTCGCAAATACTTAGTTTAAGCTGAAGTCCCGGCTCAAGTCTCGCTACAAGTTAATGCCCAACCAAGCAGCGTCGAAAGCGCAAGTCACTATAGTCCGTTGCAACTCAAGAAGGTAGGGCGAGGGTAAAAAGGGCCTGGGATGAGGAGGCAGACGCGGAGCGCTAAAGAAAGAAGGAGGTTTCCCCGTCTCTTCTCCAGCGTTTCGTCTGCTTCCTCCTGCCCGGCCCGTCTTACCCTCGCCCTACCCTCTTGAGTTGAAACGAACTTTTCTGTTTACGATTAGCTCAGGGATAGTAGAACACATAAAGAAAAATGACGAGTATGATGATGGTGCCCTCCTGACGCTGTCTGAGTGGTCGCGTCAGCTCGTAGCGTCGGCTGCATCTGGACTTGAGCCTGAGCTGAAATTAAGTATAACTTAAGTGCGCGTTATCAAGCCAAGCATGACGTTTCGCAAGCTCACGTCCAGAGTTCAATGTCACAGCTAAAAGTGGGTTTGTGTTTTTTCCGCCATATAAGAGCTGCGATAGAGGCTCCTCCCACAAATAAGATGCTACACTCCTAGCTTGCCCATTAGGACAAGGGCCGAGACGAGGGGCAGTAGGACGAGATTAGCTTTTGTGGGCGCCCATTTTGAAAAAGAGCCCTGGCGGATTGTCCACCATGTCCTTGACGTCACGGAAATGATATGTTAACTCAAAGGCGCATGCCAATAGACCAGCTGCGGGAAATTCGAAAGGCCACGACAACATCTGCACCTGCCCTTGTTCGCTCGCCATCGTCGACTCCGTCGTCTGCTATAGCAGGTTCTATAAAGGCAGTCCCCGGCATTCTTTTCGCTGCCGCCGACGGCGCTGCGTCCTTTGAAGGAAGGTCTATTTTGTCTGGGAACTTACCGAGGAGGGAGAGGGAAGCTTTTTGTTTTATGTAGTTATTACGTTGTGACATACCATAGCTTAAGAATCTTGTAAGCGCGAAAAGGGGCGACTGCGAATAAGATGACCCGAGCCAAAGTTTGTTCGTGTCCCCTTCTTCGAATCCGTCTTTGCGCTTACAGGTCCCCTGGGAATCACTCATCAACATACACTCTAAAAAAAGTCTGTGCGTCTACTTTCACGCACACCACACGGAGAGCCAATCACCGCAACTTACGGAGGCAGCTCAGCGAATGACGATGGGCAAACATCTCTTTAGACCAAAGAACGCAGTCTGAGTTGTGACATTAAGCAATGCAAGCGTGACGTTTTTCATTGCTTAATGTCACAACTCAGACTGCGTTTTTTGGTCTAAACATATGTTTCCGCATCGTCATTCGCTGAGCTGCCTCTGTAAGTTGCGGTGATTGCTCTCCGAGTGTTGTGCGTGAAAGTAGACTTACAGCCATTTTTTAGAGTGTAGCCCAACAACATGTCTCGTTAAAACAGTGCAAGTCGAAGTGTTTCTTTTTCGGCCTCGTGATTCGCTAAAATATCCTTTCTTAGATCCTTGTAATTGGTTCAACGAGTGTGCCGTTTTCCGCAGGCAAGACAGACGTGCGGACATTTATTTCTTTAGAGCCACGGTATGTGACGAACGTGTTTCCAACGCCAGCGGAACTGCCTACTGCAATCAGTCGGACGCTGTTTTATCATCATCATCATTATCATCATCATCATCACACGTCTGTAGCCACTGACAACCAAAGGGGCGCAAGGCCTGAAAATTCACGAGCATCTCATAATTCCGCAGCCAATAAGGTTTCGGCATTGCCCGACAAGGAGGTCGCCGAGCAAATCAAGAGGTTTGTTCACCCTGCTTGTGTTACGCACTCAGTGTCTATAGACTGGGACCACTGCGTTCGCGTTTTGTGGTGGGCGGAACGGAAGTTATCGGTGGGGTTGCCGTCGTGTTTTAGGGGGAAGGGCGTGTTATCAGTGACGTGACACTTGATCGCCGCTGTTCTAACGGTCACCCTGGAGTCTGAACGGTTGCCTGCATTTGGCGACTGACGACGGTGTGGTTCAAAGGGACACTGAAGTGAATTGCGAACTTACGATTGACGATGGATGCTTGTTTCCCGCCCAGAACTGCCGATTCAGTGTGTATACAAGATGGGCTCCAGAGCGTCAGAAATCAGTGGAAACGGGCCTACCGTGGATAGAACCTGCCTTGGCAACGCGGTCTAAATGTAAAGACGGTCTAAACACTGGCGTTCTCTGCTGAAACGTTCAACATCAGTGACTCGACCGTATCGTCCCAGTCGACTGCTTGTTGTAGAAACACTTCAAGAAGACAAGAATCAGCTTCGCAAGTACATTTTTTTACAAACCCCCATCTCTTCCCACAACATTCGGCTAAAAGTTTCTAAAGGCAAAAAAATTAAGTTGTCTTCCTAATAAACTCATCGGAATCGCAAGATACCTTAACCATAAGAAAAGGTTGGATTCGGCTTCAGTGTCCCCTCAAAGCGGACTGCCAGCGGGGTTTGAGGGTGGATGCCTCGACGGCCAGCGCAGCCGCTGCAAGCGCACGTGCTCCCTCGATGGTCGGCGCTAGCCCGCGCTTATCCGGCCCCTTTTGCGCGGCCGTGGGCGAACAGGGCCCTGCCCGCGCGGCGCGCTCTGGTGGCGAGCAGGGTGCTCGGGGCCACCGCGACGAACGGCACTTCGGCAGCGGCCGGCCACCGTCATTCGTCCGAGTCGTCCGAGTCACTGATGACGCCCAGCTTGTGTCCCACCGAGCGGAGCTTGTGCACCACTTCCTCCTGCACCAGGTTGAAACACATGGCGATGAGCGCCAGTCCCACGAGCAGGTAGAGCGAGCAGATGACCAGCTTCTCCTGGGAGCCGCTGTCCGAGACCACGGTGTCACCGGGCACCAGGTCGCCGAAGCCGATGGTGCTGAGCGTGACGAAGCAGAAGTAGGAGCCGTCCAGGTAGTTCCAGTCCTCCCAAATGGAGAAGAGCACGGCACCGCCGCAGATGTATCCCGAGATGATGGTCATGCACAGCAGGATGGGCACGGTCACGCGCGGCCGCTCTTCGAAGTCTACGTCGTCGAAGTAAGCACCGGCGAACCCGTCCATCTTCGCCTGCGGTGCGGGTGAATAAGTTCTTTAAGATTTGGAAACCAGTGGAGATGTTGGCACTAGGGTGCCTTCATGTGCGCTTTGCTTAGGGTGGTGGCATCTCGCCATTTTGTCACACACGTTTATTTTTATTTTTTGTTAAGGAGCGCGTGACAGAGCGTGTCCCTGCACGCGCTTGTGGCGCTGACTGTGCTTTGGCGACATTTTGTTTTCGTCAATTTCTTTGTATTTTTCCCGTGAGCGCGTGCTGTCGGCGTGTGGTACCACAAAGGGTGGCATCACCCTAAACAGAAGGACATTGAGGCACCCTAGTTGGCACTGGGTAAACAATGTTGAATATGATAAAAAAAAAGAAAAAGAAGAAAACAAACAAACAAACGAGGTCACAGGTAAGGAAGGAAAGTGTGCTTCTGAAACCTAGGTGAAGCCGTAGTTACATATCACACAAAGACTCACTACAGACAGGATGATAGAGGTATCTGCGGACAGGTATCGAGTATGTTCAAAGCATATGTTTTGTTCATACATATACATGATTCAAAGATGTCTGCAGAGTTTTTGCATAACCATACTGACACAACCGCCATAGAAGAAGGAAACCTCCATCGGACAGTGTTGGCAGAGTGTCTTTTGTATGATAGCAATGTGACCGCGACTTCAAGAATTCGCTTCTATTCTCAGTATTCCCCTTCATAGCAGGAGGTGTAAAAGGCCTTTCGGGCACATTTCCTCTGGGCTCTGTAAAATATATCGGCATAACGAAATTTACGCTATTCTGTCTGAGGTATACCTTCCCCACTCTCACGGGTCCCTAAGCGTGTACCGCACCAAAATGTATATATGGGAACACGAATAATGATTTTGAATGTGTTAGAATATATTGCCCTGGTGCATGCAGCCGTCTTTCGTTTGAACGGTCGTGGTTTGGACTTGACAGGGTTTCGTGAGGCCGCGGCGCGGTTCCCGCCGTGCTCTTTCGCTCCGCCCGTTCGCCGATTACGTTCACTTTCCCTCTTATGTAACAGGAAACGTCTTCCGGCACGCTTCCAACGACGCGCCGTGGGAGCGGGAAAGGCCGTGGCGGTGGCACAACGTACGCGACAACGTAAAACCGAGGAGCAGCGACGACGCCGTTTGCGCGAAACCACCGACATCCGGGAAAAAAGATAGGGTCTTCGAAGACAACAGTACGGACAGTTGCGAGGTTGCAATTCCTATTCTTCGCTGAGTGGGAACACCTGCGCTCACCCTTTTTGCTGCATCGCGAGGCGGAATACATTACAGACATACAATCCCCCCAGCAAGCAGGGCATCTGGCTCCCGCCATGTCTCTACACGTGCGAGCCTTCGCTTGCTGATGCCCGTGGGGCATCAGTCGGAGGGGAGGGGGGGGGGGGGGGGGGGGGGGGGGGGCTAAGCCTGCAATTGCTGAAACGCAGCGCATCCGAACCATTGAGCCAATGCAACTCCGTGTGAGTGTCACGTGTCCTTCGGGAGGGGTGCAGCGACGCTCAGGGCGCATAGTCACGTGGTACGCGCCGGATTGGCTGGAATAGCTCGTTCCGCTGTAGTTCACGGTAAGGTAAAGCGAAGTATAGACGTCGCTTATAATTCATTCTACACCATATAAAGAGGATGTTCACTTTCCCGATACGGAGACAGCCAATCACTACGAACAATAGAAGGACATCTCAACGACTCACGAAGCTCGGAATACAACGAGACAAAAATACAGCGATGTGCGCAGGGCCACATGAGCGTGACGTTTCACTCGCTCATTATCCCTGCGCACATCGACTTATTTTGTGACATCATCGTATTTTGAGCTTCGTCATTCGCTGGGATCTTTCGGTTGTTCGTTGTGATTGGCTGTCTCATTGTTCTGCAGGAAAGTGAACTAATAGACGCTTTTTTTTTTTTAGAATGTAAACGTTAGAAGGCCTAAAGGCTAAATGGTTCACACAATTGCGACTGCTTGTGACCAAGTGCATTACAACCCCTTGTGATCTCTTATGACGAGAGAGGACGCTCGCCGTAAGAGATAAAAAAAAACTCGGTCGTAAGCAACCTCGCAAGCGTGTGAACCAACCTTTTAGGCGAATAAACATCGATAAGTTAAAAACCGAGGAAGCCTCGCCACGTACGTCCTCCTCGATACCCCGGCCCGAGCGGCCGACGAGGGCGAGCCCCTGACCGGGTGCGCCGAGTCCGGGACGCTGGAGCCCGTTCTCTTCGACAAGGAGCCGGTTGACGCGGCAGCGGTCGCCCGAGGCCCTCAGGTACTGCTGCTGGCGCGAGTCCCGCTGGTCGCAGCTGCACAGCTGTCCGTACACGTACTTGAAGGCCCGGGCCAGGATGTCGCCGATGTTGGTCAGGTAGAGCAGCATTAGCGGGATGCCCACGATGGCGTACAAGATGGTCACCATCTTGCCCCAGTTGGTCTTGGGGGCGATGTTGCCGTAGCCTGCAAGCAAGCATCGGACGGAAAGCGGACGTACAGTCAGAGGGTTGTGATGCCATGTCCGAGTCTGCCGCAGGCACGCTGCTTGAACATCACAAAAAACACCGTTTTTTTTGCGGTTGGTGGAAAAAGGGGTGGGGGGGGGGGGGGGGGGGGGGCTTGAGTACCTTGTCTTGCACATCAATTAGTATTCATGCAGTAGCTCTCAGTTTTTATATCCACGAGTGGATTATATATGGTCATCCGCAGGCGGACAGCGGACACGTACACGCTACCAAGAAACGTGACTTAGAAGCCTTCGTGACTTGCTCAATTAGTAACTGAAAGCGTTACTAGAACGGGTTCCCATACAACCTGGAGGTAAGGCGTCAATATTCGTCGACAGTTTCCGACTTAAAGTAATTTAAAGGCTAACATGAAGTCAGAAAAGGAAGATGATGAACAGTTTGAAGTTACAAATTATAATACTTAGTTAAAACTTATACTTTGAGTAACTGTAACTCGGTCGCATTTTCGGGTAACGTGAAACTTGTTCAATTAAGTTTACTTCCCGAACTCGCGATACTCCTAGAAGAAATCGTATTGTTTATTTTAACGTAGAAAAAAGGTTGAAGCCAGGAGCTATATGTGGATCTTAAATTGATGGGACTATAGTCGCTGAACACTGCTTCGACTCTAATGCAGCAGCTTGTTCACAGAAACAATCCTAATATTTCTTGGCGCCGCTGTTGAGATTTTGAGGCCAATAGTTCATTACTTCAGCTGGCTCGCCTTTTCACGGGACACGCAAGGCGAGCTTTTGGTTTATTGGTTGCTTTGTTGTTTTCGCGTAAATTTAAGCAAGTCCCCCAAGAATCTGGGAATCCAGAAGTACAAAGTTTTAACTCTTACAGATTGCATCTTCTTTATATTTCGACCAAGTCTATAGTGGCGTATCAACTTGTTTTTGACTGAGAGAGCAAACCCCCCTCCCACACCCCAGGGCCGGGGGTTGGTGCCCTTGGTATCTCTTGGGCGCCGCCGGCCAGTGTTTGCCCTGCCCAGTGGCGGCTGTTTCAGAAGGGGGGGCAAAACACATGCCATGCCCTCCCCCCCCTCCCCCCCCCCCCCCCCCCTGAGAAATGGGAGGGGCAAGCGCCCCTTGCCCCCTTCACCCCGTTTGGTACGCCCACGAAAGTCTACTATTAAAACGCAAGGAGCCGGTGTGATGTTTCATAGCAAACATTTATTCTTATGAATTATCTTATTTCTAAAAAAAAACACAATCTTAAGTCTGATAAATAATTAACACAAATTGCATGCTAACACACGTGTTTCTGTTTATAACAACAACAATCGTGATGGTATGAGCATGTTTGATCACCATAGTACTCAGGGTTCCATTGTAATAGTATGCATACAAATGCGTGATCGATTCGTGTATACGTTGCACTTTAAGTTCTTGGCTATTGGGTGAAAAGACCGCTTATCCTCTTGCAGGCTGCTAAGGAGTACAATTTCCGGCAGCCAAAACAGTTTTAGAGGCACTATTCGAGCGAGCCAAAAGGCACTGTCAAATTCAATTGCTTCCAAGCGGCGCCAGAAGAGCTGATTACGGCCACCGGCTAGAGACCGTGACTTTCTAAAGTAGCAAACTCCAATAAAGCAGAAAGAAATGGTAATTGGCTCGCTCAATGAAAGCCAGACTTCTTTCTTTTTTCTTTTTTTGTTTTCGTTCTTTGCGCAAATGCAAATGACACGGCGATAATGAAGGAGCGCTGTTTAAATCCCCATCCAACCGCCGAGGGACTGAAACCAGATGGAATATCAGTGGCTGGGCCGTTAAGAATTATGTGAGGACGGTACATTTAATTTCATTCCATTTTATTATCCCTGAAAGGTACGTGAACAGGGCATTACACGGTAAATTTGAACAACAGGTAAATAAAACAAAAAAAAAACAGTTGATTAATTATATAAATATCGACAAAAATGCAAAAAAGAAGCAAAAGGGAGCAATAGGTGGTGTTAGCTAAATATGGTAATTATTAACAGTTTGGAGGTGTGCCTTGCAAAGGTCTCTGAATTCATCCTCATTAGTTTCATTTACAATTAATTGAGGAAGATAATTGCAGTTATTAATTGCAAGACCCACTGGGGAGCTCTTAAATTTATTACTCCTCGCGAATGGATTTATTTTTAGGTTAAGATCCAGGCGCATGGAAATGTGTGATGGTGGTTATAAGTAAAGGTCACGAAAAGAAGAGGAGGAAAAGATTAGTTTGTGGAAGATAACAAAACGGGAGAGATTAGTTCTTTCAGACAATGGGCACAAGTCAAGTGCCGAGTTTAGTGTAAATATACTGACTTTTTCGAAAGTAATCATGTGATATAAAACGAATCACCATGTTTTGAACAGATTTATAGCTTGTAAATAAGAAAGGTTTGATGAGGCCACCAAATAAAGTAAGCATGGTCCAATTTAGATCTTGCAAAAGTGTTTTCAACAGTTAGTTCAACACAAAGGGTGTGAGGTATGAGTTACGTTTAATACATACAAAGGATTAACATGTACTAGCCACTATAGTATTAATATGAGTAGCCCAAGTGAGGTCGTCAGAAAATGCTACGCCTAGATATTAATAGTTTGACACTTCTTTCAAGGGACATCATTAGTAAGGAATAGTTACTCATTGGTGAATTACGTTGACCGGGTTGATCGCTTACACTTTTTAAATATTACTTTCATTTGCCGCATATCGCAACACTGTGAAAATATATTTAAAGGGCCTCTGACACGCCAAAAAAAATTTTGTTTCATGCTATAGGCGTTGAATCGGCATATCAGGACATTAAATCAAAATTCTTTCCCTATAGAGTTGCGTAGTTTTTTTTTTAATAAAAAATAGAAATACGAGGCCCAATTCAAAGTTCCCGCCAGTGCGCTGTGATGTAACAGTGTACCGCAAGGTGTCGGGGCGGTCAGAAGGGAGGCATTGACCTACGTCACTAAAAGGGAGTTCGCCGGAAGTCATGTGAGTTACACTCCTCGTGCTCTCCGCGACTGTGCCTAAGACTTTTTTGTTTTTTTATTCTGCTCTTTGTATGAGCGATCGTAGAAAAAAGTTTCAGTTCTCTTTATCGCTGCACCGTTGGTTAGTTTGCGTGCTGTAAAAGTTGAGGACGGAGAGTCAGTGGATCGACATGATGGAGGTCAATGATGAAAGCGCTGCGAGTACAAGCCAGTGTACGAGTGCATGCCGTCAGTCCGAAAATACAGAACTATACTGGGCACAAAACAAGCTATCAAGTTTTGAAAAGAAAAATTTGAGAACGCTCGCGGAGATTAGAATTGCTAGCGTATGACACGCCCGATCGGATTGTTGAAGGTTCAGACACCGAGGTCGTTGAATCATCGGATACTCTCCAGGCTGAAGATGCCTGCGGCCTAAAGAATACGAACTGGTGAGTGTACCTAGTACAAGTAAACGTCGAGCATAAAGTGCATGTTTTGTCATTCCCCATGACCCGTCACAGCTTACTCTCCCACTCGAGAATCAAGTCATTCCTCAAGTGACGTGCATTAGGATTCTCGGCCTCTTTCTCCAACAAGACGGCGGAGGAGGATCACACGCGCTTCAACGTCTCACGCATACCAGGAATCAAATTCTTCGTATGATGGGACGAATTGCCAACAGACGACACGGCCTGAAAGAGGAAGACGCTACCCGTCTCATCCAGGCACTCATCATTAGCCGTGCAACCTACTCTGCCCCCTATCTGACCCTCAAGCCTCGGGAACAAGAAAAACTCGAAGTACTAATTCGCCGGTCTTACAAACAAGCCCTCGGTCTTCCACCAGGCACCTCGACACCACGTCTCCTGTCTCTCGGCATTCACAATACCGTCGAAGAGCACATTAAAGCGCACCTCATAGGTCAACGCGAACGTCTCAAGCTAACACCTGCATGCGGGCAGGTTCTAACTCGTCTGGGCTATCCGATTCAAACCTTGGGCCACAGTGAAACGATTCCCCTCACTGCTGTTTATCGCACCAAAATTTCTGTTGCCCCAATACCCAAAAACATGCACCCCGAGTTCCATCAGGGGAGACGACAGGCTCGCGCCCGCGCTCTTAAGAAGAAACTTCAATATACCCGCCACGTCAGATACACTAGCGCCGCCAGTTACCCGGGTCGACTGGCCATGGCCGTGAGCGTAATCGACAAAGACATGCGGGAAGTGACCACTCGCGACCGTTCCTACCTCTCTCCCACTCGAGGCAGAAGCTCGCTATTACGTTCACCCCAGCTATCACATCTCTTTCAATAGTTACTGACTCGCAGGCAGCTTGCCGTAGTTTTGGCAACGGTCGCCTCTCCAAACTTGCTCATCGAATTTTAACTTATCACCCCCCTGAACAACTCCCTACAGTATCCTTGATATGGACGCCGGGGCCTAATTCCCTGAGCGGGAACGAACGCGCACACGCGTCAGCCCGAGCTTTAACCCTCCGGGTCCCGCCACCGTAGGAAGAACGATCCCTGGTCCCCATCCCGATTCCCCTTACCTATCGTGACATCCTTCAACATCTGCAATTGAGTCGCCGCACCCTTCCTCCGCCGCACGAATCTCTAACGAGAAAGGACGCCGTAGATCGGCGCATGTTACGAAAAAAAAAAAAAAAAAAAAACTTTTCCTTACCTCAGTCTTTTGCATGCCATGTTCCCTACAGTATACCCGACAAACAAATGTCCCCTGTGCATCGAAAAGGCTTCATTATATCACATCACGTGGGCATGCCCTAAGATTCAGGCTGCTGCCCCAGTTCCCAACCCAAACGCCGAGCAGTGAGAAGCTGCGCTGTCCGGCTGGGATCCGGACGACCAGCGTAATCTGGTCTTGCGGGCCCGAACCGCAGCGACAGCTACAGGGGTCCTGGCATGAGGGCTCCTCTCGCCTCGGAAGAGCCCAACTAATTGTTTATTAAAAGTTTTTTCTCTCTTTCTCTCTGTCTAGAACAT